AGGGTTGCGATCCGTTGCCGGACACGGAAAAAAGACAAAAAAAAATAAATAAATAAAAAATTTAAAAAAATAAAAAAAATAAATAAAAAGAAGCCACTCCAATGGGCCATGTTTTTGCCATATTAACATAGTGGGAATAATAGGTGTGGGAAATCGAATAAAAAATATGGGTGAAGATGGATCTACACGAAAAACCTGTGATTCGTGGGTGGCTTGTTCTACTTTCTACAATGTATGGATTGCTGCAGGAGTTAAACTTCTGGAAGACATCCACAAAAAAATTCAAATCAGGCGTGATTCTCTGAAGACACTTAAGGATTTCTAAAAATTACTGAGACATTAACTGGCTTTGCCCTTCCCTCCAACTTACAACTGTGGATCTTCAGCCTTTATTTGACATTTTAAAGGGTGGATAATCACCTAATTCTTCCAGAAGTTAAAGGCTGGAGAGGAATAAAGGGGGAGAGGAATGGTGCAGAATTTCATTGGGACTCAATAGTAAAGCTCCATTTCCAACTTCTCCATCTACCACTAGGCATCCCATGGCCTGTAGCAAACGGGACAAATTCTGATATGGCTCATCAGGACCCCGACGGATCTTACCAAGTTCTTCCAATTTAGTGTCAGCCGTGGGAAACCTCCTCCAAGATGTTGAGCAAGAGTATTAATCTGCTGATGCAAAGCAGAGAATCCAAGCTGTCGTGCTACTGTAGCAAATTCACCTTCTCCTGCTAGCAAATCAAAAGTAACCTCAAGTCCTTCCCTATCATTGTGCTCAGATTGCTCGAGTGTGTTAAGAAAACTCTGATTTCCACAAAAGGCATTCGCCTCCACTAAGACAGGCTTTTGCTACATTTTTCCAGTCCACTGGGGGGAGAGCTTCAACTGCCATTTTGTCAAGTAAGCTTAAAGTAAAGGGAACTGTGGCCCCATACTGAGTTTTAAAAGGGACGAGTTGATACTCCCATACTGCTTGTTCCTCAGCATTTAAAGACTCAGTAGTAGGATAACATCTGTATCCCTGTAAACCATCTTCCCCTCTCTCCTGTGCCATTAGGAGCACCTTCTGTAAAGGAAACATTTGAGGGGCACAGCATAGGATAGGGTATGTCTGAGGTGTCACAGGCCATGGGAACACAGAGAGGACGCCTTTGAAATTCATTTACAATTTCTTTCTTTTTTTTTTTAGGAAATGTTCTCTTTGGGATCTGGCTTTTTTTTTTTTTTCACACACAGACACACACACACAAGATTTGCTTACAAAGAATGCTGAAGCAACCCAACTGGACCCGAGGTGAGGGCCCTGACCAAACTATTCTGTTTTCCCAATGGTAGGAAATGTTCTCTTTGGGATCTGGCTTCTTTTTTTTTTTTCCCCCTTTTTGTCTTTTTTCGTGACCGGCAACGGATCGCAACCCTCAGTGTCGTGCCCGTACCGGACCAGGACCGGCAACGGGATCGCAACCCTCGGCGCTGCGCCCGCACCTCGCTCAGCCAGTGAGCGGCCGGTCTGTATGTGGGATCTGAACCCTCGGCGGGAGCGCCGCCGCGCTCCCAAGCAGCACACTGTAGCAGTGTGCCACCAGGCTGGCCCTGACCATTTACAATTTCGATGGCAGGATTTCATCAGATGGTCAAAAGCCAACGAAAAGCCAGGGGACTAGATAGCTGAAAGTGAGGGTGGAGGTAAGGGCTCAGTGGGAGGTGATTCTGCCTCACTATTTCCTCTTTATCCTCTATCTCTTCAGTACATTCCCCAATCAAAGGTTTTTCAATAACATCAGTGGGGGAAGAAGTTATATCAGAAACTTCTATAGGTTTAGAGACAGTTGAGACCACAGGGGCTTTAGAAGCCTCATGGCCAGGATGTAAACAGTCTCTGATTAAATTCCATAAAGAAAAGGTGTCAACAGGGACCTTAGAAGGACCCACAACACAATAATGGCCTCATATCCATCTCCCAACATGTTCCCAACTTTCAGTATTGACTGTCCCTTCTTCAGGAAACCAGGGGCAGACTTCTTGAATGTGATGTAAAAATTTTTCTAAATGAACAATAGAGACCTTGTGGCCCTGGGCTTTAAGCATAGATTTCAAAACTTTGCTCCCTCCTTGTGCCATTAGTTTTACTCCTGACTATATGCCTTCATTCCTAAACAGAATAGGTACACACCCTAAAACACAAAGGTTCCCTCACCTGTTTCCAAGAAGTTTCTCCACACTCAGGTCCCTGTCCAGGCGCCACTTGTAGTCGAACATTACCCAAGGGGAGACAGTGGAGAAGTGAAGAAGAATCACACTTATGGGGTCAGGAGGACTGCACAGGCTGCTGACCTGTGAAGCCCCTTAGTTTATTTTAGGTTCTTTTAATAAGGCAGAAAAAATAACATATTGTACTGATTAAGCCAGTTATGTCTGGTACAAAGCTGTTTATAGAACACTTTCTGTTGCCATGGTGCTTGAAGGTTCATGGCTAACTACTTATCAGCAAAATAAGAGCATAAATCCCTCATTTACAAAGTTCCCAGGGTCCCAGGTTCAATCAAAGGTCAGACCTCAAGGGGAGGGGGGAGGGGGAGGCAGGCCAACGGGAAGCCAGCCTTGCTGGCTCGCTCCCTTAAAATAGCAAGGACTTTATCAGCTTGCTATTTAGTACACCACAGTCAGACCCACTGTCTGCTTCCATGTTAGCTTTTAACTTTAGAAAAAAGATTGTCTTCTTAAGAGACAGTTTGGTAATAATGGTCATACAAATGTGCATACACTAGGAGCAGAGGGAGAAAGCATGTAGTGTAATACTTTAGGCTTAAAATATTTAACAAGATATAAAGAGGTCAGAGTAGGACTAAGGACAGGAATCCTAATGTAAGTCACAATATTTGTTACGCTTAGTGCACGCACTCATTAACCACAGTTATGCTGGGTTCCATTAAGAAAAACTTATTAACACAGAATACTCACATGCATAAGCCCCACCTGGTGAGGGGCTGCTCTGTGCACTGTGGGCTGTTCAGCAGCAGCCCTGCCTCCAGCCACTGGATGAAGTAGCATGTCCCAACCTGCAGCTATGATGACCAAGTGTCCCCAGACATAGCCAAATGTCCCCTGACAGGAATATCAGCACTCATTTAATGGCATATAGTCAAATATTTCTAATGTATTTTTAATGCCATACTCAATATATCTATTTAAAAATTTACACCCATATTACATAAAATGTTGAAAGCTTTACTGAAAGCCTTGACACATCAGTGATATTTATAAAGGTTCACTTTATTCTCAGCATTTAATGAGACGTCCCTGCCTGCTAAGGTGTCCCTGATGTGTTGTTTCTCCCTGTGACGTCTTTCAATTTTCCATAAACTGATCTTGGTATAAGAGAGGACAGAGAGATCTCTCCCATGTGAATCTTCTCATGTACAAGGACTGAAAAGTTCACAAAGTGAATGAGCTACCATGCTCAAGTTGTGCTGTGATGCAAACACATGCCCCACATGTATGAGTCGGTACAGTAGGTATTTTATTTCTCACTTGCATAAAGTACAAATGGACAGTTTGGGGATAAAGATGAGATTTCTGCTCTCTCCAATGAATTCCCTCTGACTTTAGATCATGGTAGCCTTCACCCACCTGTAGCTAGCAAGGCAACCCTAGAATCATTCCCACTCCAGTCCCAGTGGACAGGAGAAACAAGGGAGGATCCCATGGACATTCATTGCTCCCAGGCTTGGAAGTAATGTTCATCACTTTTGTCCATATTTCTCTGAAAAGAGCTCAGTTACATGGTACCACACACAAAAGGGGAGGCAGGCTAACTCCATGATCAAGAGAAAAGAGAGTGGTCTTTGGAAAGCACACAGCCAGTCTCTGCCATGCAGGATTTCTCCCGTGTGTGAGTTCTCTGATGTGTGTTGAGGTTCGACTTCTGGGAAAAGGTTTTCCCACAGTCATTACATTCATAGGGCTTCTCCCCTGTGTGAGTTCTCTGATGCACAGTGAGAGTTGACTTATGGTAGAAACTTTTCCTACATTCTTTACATTCATATGGTTTCTCTCCTGTGTGAATTCTCTGATGTTCGTTAAGGTGTGACTTACTGTAGAAGGTTTTTCCACATTCATTACATTCATAGGGTTTCTCTCCTGTGTGAATTCTCCGATGTACAGTGAGGTATGACTTACGGCAGAAGGTTTTCCCACATTCATTACATTCATAGGGTTTCTCTCCTGTGTGAGTTCTGTGATGAACAATAAAGTCTGACTTATGGAAGAAGGTTTTCCCACATTCATTACACTCATAGCGTCTCTCTCCTGTGTGCATTTTCTGGTGTTCAGTAACGTGGGATGTACTGTAGCAGGCTTTCCCACATTCATTACATTCATGGTTTCTCTCTCTCGTGTGTATTTTCTGGTGTTCAGTGAGGTGTGACTTACTGTAGAAGATTTTCCCACATTCATTACATTCATGGTGTCTATCTCCTGTGTGAATTATGTGATGTCTAATAAGGTCTGACTTAGGAGAGAAAATTTTCTCATGGTCATTACATGCATAGGGCTTCTCTCCTGAATGTGTTTTCTGATGTACTGTAAGGACTGATTTATTAATGAATGATTTCTCACATTTGCTACATTTGTAGGATTTCTCTTCTTTTTGTACTTTCTGGTGTTCAATGAGTTGAGACTCTTTATAGAACATCTTCTCAAATACATCACATTTAAAAGTTTTCCTCCCTACCTGAGTCATCTCTTGGGCAGTGATAGCTGACTTATCACAAGCTCTCCCGTGTTCAGTATATTTACAGGAGGTCTCTCCCATATAAGCCCTCATACATGACAATAACATTGGCTCTGTGTTGAAGGCTTTCCCTTGTCCACCATATTCAAAAGGCCCAGTTAGAATCTTGCGATGCCGACCATGATGTTCAGGACATCTGAGGGATTTCCCAGTTATATTACGCACATCAGATTTCTCTTCAGTGTGCCTCTCATCATGCTTTCTAGACAGAAGCATGTTCTGACATTCGTTAAACTCCTCAGGCCTCATTCCTGAATGGTTTCCATTATTTATAATGAGATTTGAAGTGTGATTTGAGCTCAAATTAAATGTCTTTCCTAACTGAACTCTCTCTTCAGTTGACATGTTATTGCTGGTAATCACAACTTGCCACAAACGTGTACGGTGACTTTCATGGCTCCTTGCAATTAAGTCATCGATGTTGACTGTCTGGACATCTGAAATGAGAAAAAGATAACCACAGGGCCAGCGCGGTGGTGCACTCGGTAGAGTGCGGCGCTTGGGAGCACGGACCGGTCCACTCACTGGTTGAGCGCGGTGCAGGCGCAACACCAAGGGTTGTGATCCCGTTGCCAGTCGCGGTACGGGCGCAACACCGAGGGCTGCAATCCCGTTACTGGTCACGAAAAAAGACAAAAAGGAAAAAAAAAAAAGATAACCACATCTTTGAACCACATGAAAGCATATCTTATGGAAGGCCCATGTAATGGTAAAGAAGTTTCTTCCTATTCTGGTGACATAATAACTTATACAAGTCAACAATGGGTATTGGTTTTAAAGTATATGGTTTTTCCTCTTGCTGACTTAATGTAATAAATTACATTAACAGATTTTCTAATGTTAAACTGTGTTTTCCTTTGCTGCTTTAAGATTTATTCATGAAGAAATGTGTGTTTAAAACATTGACTTCTGCCTCAACTAAGTTGTTATCACCTGCCATTTTTGCTCCATTCTTTTTCTCTATTTTCTTTTTATAATAACAGTGACTGTCTAATGTTGATATATTTTCATCATTCTGCTTTGAATGTGGCAGGGTTTCTTGGATTAGCTCCTTGCAGAGTGTGGGTGAAATCGACTTGTCTGTCCCCAAGAAGGAATATGGCTTAAGATCAAAGCTTGGCACAAATGTTGGTTTAGTTCACTGTTCCCAGGGGAATGGCTATAGGAATCTGGAGGTTTTTCAAATACATAATCTATTCTTCCCCACACTAGACAAAGACAGCTAACTGCAAATTCCTAACCTTACCAGACTTTGTCTACTTCTTCGAACTGTAACAATTAGAGGAAGGTCCAGTCCACCATCCTGGCCACCCCTCACTGCTGGTCTAAAGGATTTGGTTCTGCAACCCAGGCGGTGACCACCCTCTTTGAAAGTTGTTTTCTGGCTTCTCTGGACATTGACAGCCCTGGCATTCTCCCCCTAGTTTCTGGTACACACTTATCTTCTTGATAATCTACTGCTTCTGAAGCCTTTGGTCTTCTACACTGGAATTTCAGTTGTCTCTTACCTTTATAGAAAATGGAGTCTCCTGTGCATTTTTCATTCTCTTTCTTGTTTTAGAATAATTTCCACAAAGAGAAAGAGAAAATGCTAACTTCAAACTCCACGCCCAAACAAATCTGTTTCTCCTCCCAAGCCTACAACCACCTCTTCCCACACTCATGTGCCAGGTCCTCCCATCATTTCTGATATCCTGGTACACAAGGCTCACTCCTGGAATTCTTTCTCCATTTTATCAACTACCTAGGTGGCCTCCTCTATAAGCATGATTTAAATACCACCTTTAAGCTAACAATTTCAAAATTTGTATCTCCAATAGTGATGTCCATTCTCAGATCTAGATTTTATATTCACCTCTGTGTTATGTCAAAATTGGAAAAGAGTTAACTCTAACAGAAGCTAGGCCAAAGTAAGTGCTTAATAATCCCCTAAAGCGGACTTTTCCAATCATCCTTCCTACATTATCACATCCCATTTTTCTCTCTCTCTGGCTCAGGTTAAATATTCCCTCTGGTACTTATACAACTACTCAGCATATACTATTTTGTTTCTCTCTCGACAGGATGTACACTTTTTATTAAATAGGTACATTACTCTGATCATTGCTATTATCAATACAACTATAAAATTACCACTGCTTAAAATATGCTTGACTAAGATGTGTTCAAAGAATAAGTGAATGTCTGGATAAATGTAAAGAAATAGAAAAAAACAACAGTCCACGAAAATAGAGGAAAAGAGGGCATCTGAGAGAACTGAGAAAAATAGCAAAGAAAGATGTCTAAGAAGAGGAAGGTAGGGATTAGACTTTGGGTAACTACGAAAAATATTCAGCAAAATAACACGTGGAGATATATGTGAGACAGTGCTCCTTGGAGACTATATAATGCTCAGGTTTGATGTATACAGACCAGACCTGAGGAAGAAATTGGTGAAAACAGGTCAACACGGCCCACATCTGCGGGGCTCTACTCTTCCCGGCCTACCTGCCCAGTATGCGCTGACTGACCTGGGAGGCTCTGGTTTGGGGGTTGCTCTTCTGACCATGGCTCTGCTCCTTTCTCCAGCTTGAAGATCACCTCAGGTTTAATAATGCAGTGTCCTGTTAATGAGAAATAATGTAGGACTTTGCAAACTGGTAAGCTAGATCCTTTGAAGGGTGACAAGAGCTTGGCTTCAGGAACTATGCAGGAAGTGGCCAATTTGAACCTTTCATTAGAGAAGGGGACACATTCTTCATAAAATAAAATCTTAATAAACAGCATTAAATCTTATAAATGGTTTTCATATTTACAAAAAAAAGGAAGGCATATTCCTGATGTTACTGTGGCGTTTCACTCACCCAACGACACCAGGCTGCTGTAAGTATCCAGCATCACATCCCTGTACAGGGTTCTCTGAGCATCATCCAGGTCCTGCCACTCCTCCCAGGTGAATTCTACAGCCACGTCCTCAAATGACACCAACCCCTGTAATAACACAGTTCTCCTCAACTCCACTTACCAGCCATCATTAACAAAACAGGAATCTTAGAGTTCAAACTCCTGTGTTTGTGTGTCATATGTATCTTACGTATGATGCAGGTTCCTTGAACTTCATATGGTTGGAGAAAGAAAAACCACAGGAAAAAACTCCTGTCACTGTAATAATTTACTAATTAGTAAAAATACTATTTCAAAGCTTACCTTATTGATCTACAACCTTCCTTGATGATACAGATAAAACTGAATAAAATTCTCCTCCTCCAAGGAGTTTCTAACCTGGTATGAAGACATAAGTATAAATACACACCTGGGATAATGCATTAGATGAACTAATTTAGACACAAGCTCAATGCAGACTGGGATAAAAAAAAGGAGAACAGATAGCTCTATTTTGTATTATAAGGTTGCACTTCCCTGAAAAGCCAGACATTCAGCTCTTCCACGTGCACCACATATTCTCACGAATATGAGGAAACATCAAAAGTTCAGCCGCAAGAAAACAAAGAACCCACACCACGTTCATGGAATTAACACAGCACCATGTCTGGGTGAATGATCACGTTCATGGAATAACACAGCACCATGTCTGGCTGTGAAGAGAGATGAACACGATGTTGAAGAAACTGATTTTGGAGTGATTCTGCACTTAAATATTTGCCTTAATCCAACAACAAAAAATTTTATGTGCTTATTTTTAATAACTCATAAATTAAAAGCATGTATGTAGGCATCCCCTGATTTTCTTCCTACATGCCAACAGACTGTTTACCCCAAGGTGAACTCTGCCATTTCCCAAACCACAAGGTATAAATGATGAGGTCCTGTAAGAACAGGTGAGTTAGATGACCAGATTTGCATTTTAATAGCAGAAAACTGAAAAATCAACAACTCTTCTTGGATCTGTAAGAGACAAAAGGACACAAGGCAAACTGCTGCCTCCAGGACTGGAGAGACAGACTTGAGAATACAGGGAGTCACAGCTTACAAGAGCAGAGACTCACCTGCAGAGACCACCATGGGAAGCAGTGCCGGGGCAGGAAAACCTGAATTTAACTGATGATCTGCTGGAGGGTCAGTGTGAACAACTCGGGAGAGTGCGGCGCTGGGAGCACAGCAGCGCTCCCGCCGTGGGTTCGGATCCTATATAGGGATGACCAGTGCGCTCACAGCACTCACTGGCTGAGCACGGTGCGGCTGGTCTCAAAAAGGACAAAAAAAAAAAACCCAGAAGGACCCAGTCATAAATGGGCCACCACAATACTGTGAAACTGACGTCCAGGAGCTCAACGAGATTACTACAGTAAATAGGAAAAACAAACAAAAAAAAAAACGCTCTGCTCCTGCATCCACCTGTGGGAGGGGCAAAGGCAAATAATTCTGAAATACTGCAGAGCACTCTGCTCTTCTCAGCAAGGCTGCCCTTAGGAGAAACCACTTAACCAGAGCCTAACCTGCTTTAGTATGATCAGACCCCAAATGACCTGGGTGAGGGGAAATACCCAACTTCAGCCTACTCCAGCTATCCTGTCCCACCTAAGAGAGAGGAAAAAGACAAACTGTCAAGCCCACAGTTCAAAGGCGGAGGCTTACTAAAAGAATGAGACCTGATTATGAGACTACAGAACATTTCAGCTATGGATTGTATCTCCTCAAAATTTATATGCTGAAACTTAATACCCCCTGCACTAGAATTAAGAGGTGGGGCCTTTGGGATGTCATTAGTTCATGAAGGCAGAGCCCTATTGGCTAAAGGGAGCTTCTGTGTCTCTTCTACCATGTGAGGACATGTAACAGGCACCACCTGTGAGGAATGGGCCTGTGCCAGACACCAAATCTCCTTGCACCTTGATCTTGAACTTTCCAGCCTCCAGAACCATGAGGAATACATTTGTTGTTTATAAATTATTCAGTCAATGGCATTTTGTTATAGCAACAAAAATGAACTCAGACAGCATCCCCTCCCTCCCCCCACATTACTGAATGCACACATACCGCAGTTCCTTCTACCTAGTACATCATATGTAGCTATAAAGAAGAAAACTACAAGGCATTCTAAAAGATAAAATAACACAGTTGAAGTGACACAGCAAGAATCAGAACCAGAAATGGCTAGAATGCTGGAATTATCAGACAAGTTATTTATTAAAACTCTGATCAATACGCTAAGTGCTCAAATAAATAAAGTAGACAGAATTCAAGAACAGATGAGTGATGTAAGCAGAGAGAGAAGTCCAAAGAAGGAACAAGAAAGAAATACTAGGGATCAAAGGCACTGCAAAAGAAATAAGAATGTCTTTGGTTGGCTTATTAGTAGGCTGAATATGACTGTGGAAAGAATCTCTGACCTTGAGGATATGTCAATAGAAACTTCAAAAACTGAAAAGCATAAAGAACAAAGACTGAAAAGAACAACATAATATCCAAGGACTGCGGGACAACTACAAATGTGGAACAGAGTATTGAGAAAACCAGAATAGAGTGAGAAAAAAAAGAAGAAATATTTGAAACAGTAATGTCTGAAAAATTCCACAAATTAATGTCAGACACTAAAGATACAGAAATCTCAGAGGACACCAAGCAAGATAATGCCAAAAATTCACACCTAGACATGTCATTTTCAATCTACAAGAAATCAAAGATAAACTCTGAGCATAGCCAGAGGGGGAAAAACACCTTATCTATGGAGGAACAGAGATAAGAATTACATCCAACATCTCTCTAGAAACTACATAAGCAGAAGAGAGTGGAGTAAAACATTGAGAGTGTTGTGAGAGAAAACCCACCAACCTAGAATTGTGTACCCTGTGAAGCCATCATAAAGACTTTCTCTGGCCAAAAAAAAAAAAAAACTTGGGGGAATCTGTTTCCAGTACACATGTCTTACAAGAAATGTTAAAAGAAATTCCTTAAAGATAAGGAAAATATATAGATGAGATATCTACATAAAGGAAGAACAATAAAGAAGAAATATATGGAGATAAAATGTAAACTTTTATTTTTCTTCTTCTTAATTGAACTAACACATCTAACGATTTGCACAGTAACAAATGCAAACAGTATGTAACAATGCAAACAATTATGCATGCTTATATATATGTATATACACACATATACATAAACACAAACACACATACAGATGTATTCTATAAGTCAAAACACGACAACTATCATATAAGAGACTGGAGGACAGGCAGGAGGAATTAAAATTATTTTATTATTTATAAGATAGCCACAGTACTTGTGAAGTGGTATGATGTTATTTTTAAATATACTTGAATCAGTTGTAAATGTATATTGAAAACTCAATGCCAAGCAGTAAAAAAGTAAAAAAAGGAAAAAGAAAAAAAGTTTAACTATTTTTTTAAAAAGTACAAACTGGTTGGCTCGGGCACTTAGAGTGCTGTGCTAATAACACCAAGGTGAAGAGTTCAAATCTCCCTACCAGCCAGCCGTCCCCCCCAAAAAAAAGAAGAAGAAAAAAAAAAAGGGAATCATATAAAATGCCAATTACACCCCAAAAGCTGAAAAAGAATGGAATATAAAAGTAAGAACACAGAACAAGGGAAATAAATAGAAAACAGTAACAAATATGGTACATATTAATCCAATTATGTCAATAGTCACTTTGAGTGTCAATGATCTAATTGCACCAGTTAAAAACAGAGAGTGTCAGGGTGGATCAAAATATAAGACCTAACCATAAGTTGTCTACAAGAAAACCACTTAAGATATAATGACACATATGGATTCAAACAGATAGAGAAAAACATACAATACTAACAACTAACCAAAAAAAAACAGGAGGAGCTATGTTTATTTCAGACAGAGCAAAAGTCAAAGCAAGGACAGGTATCAGGGACAAACAACAGCATTACTTCATGATACAGAGCTAACTGTCCAAGAAGACAATGAATTTATATTTTTGGTAACTGGTTGGTACAGGGAACCAAACTCTTAACCTTGGTGTTGCAAGGCTGCACTCTAACCACCTCAGCTAAGTGGCCAACCAGGACAACAATTCTTAACATGTATGTACCTAACAGATTGGCAAACTACGTGAAGCAAAAATAGATTAATCTGCCATCACAGCTGGAGACTTTCAATACCCTCTATCAGAAAAACAGCAGGCAGAAAATCAGTAAAGAAATAGTTCAACTCAAAAAGATAATTCATCTAACTGTAACTGAAACCTATAGACTTACTTCACCCAACAGCAGAATTCTTCTCAAGCTCACATGGAACAATCACCAAGACAGACCACATTCTGGGCCATAAAACACATTCTGACAAACTTAAGATAATAGAAATCATACAGTGTGTGCTCTCAGACCACAATGGAATTAAAGTAGATATCAGTAACAAAAAGGTAACTCAAAAATCCCCAAATAGAGTGAGGTTAAACAACATACTCTAAAGAATATATGGGTCAAAGAAGAATGCAAGAGAAATTTTTAAATATTTTTAACTAAATAAAAATGAAAACAAAACATCAAATTTCTGGGATACAGAAAAAGCAGTGCCTAAAAAAATTTATGGCACTGAATGTGTATATTAGAAAAGAAAGAACTAAAATCAATAATCTAAGTTTCAAACTTAGGAAACTAAAAAAAAGAAGAGTAAATTAAATCCAAAGTCAGCAGGAAAAAAAGGAACAATAAAAATTAGAGCAGAAATCAATGAAATTGAAAACAAAAAGTCAACTGAGAAAATCAATGACAAAACAAAGCTGGTTCTTTTAAAAGATCAATAAAGTTGATAAGCTTACAGCCAGGCAAACTAAGAAAAAAAAAACAGAGGACAGAAATTTCTAACATTATGAATGAAAGATGAGACATCACCACAGACCCTGTGTATACTGAAAGAATAATAAATGAGAACTATCAACAACTCTCTGTGCACACATTTGATAACCTAGATGAAATGGACCAAGTCCTCAAAAGACACAATTTACCAAACACACACACAAAAATACACTGTCTTAATAG